CATTCACAGTTTCTGAATTAAGTTTAACAATTTTAAAATTGGTCATTTATTTGTTAGTCCACATGACCTGACCTTTCCTCTGTTTGTAGGTACACTGGCCTGAGAAGCATCTAAAACATTGTCTAACATAAAGTAATATTGAGAAACAATAATTCAAGCTCTTTTAAGTCACTTAAGATTTAAAATTAAGATTGAAGAAGTTTCTTCACATATGTTTACTTAGTATTTATGATTGCATTTGTTATTTATGTTTTATTGCAATGTCTTGACTAAAATGACCCATGCTTGATGCGAACTATTTTAGGTACTCTGAATGCTATTGCGCTAAGAAGTTTATGCTTTTTACTTTTCAGTGTAGATTGATTTTATCAGTTGTATCTAAATTAGATACCTATTCTCAAGTTGTGGGGGCATTATAATGTGACGGTCAATTCCACTATTTGTTGGTAAAGGAGTAGCCCAAGAGTTAGCGGTTGGTGGTGATGACTAGCTGTCTTCCCTCTAGTCTTACACTGCTAAATTACGGACGGCTAGTGCAGATAGCCCTCATGTAGCTTTGCACAAAATTCAAAACAAAACAAACAAACAAGCTTGCCCCTCACCCTGACATTATGAGGATTAAGTGTTAACATATAAACATATTTTTGTCTTTTTTTCTAATTTTACTCAATATATTCAGCTTTTAAAGTAAAGTTGTTTTTTTTTCTTATTAAATAGGGAATTCGTTATCAGCCATACTAGATGGTACGGCCTGTTTAACGCTATTAACCCGTGGAGAAGACTACTTAATAACTATGCCATATGCTCATTGCAAAGGCATTCTGGTAGGGACTCTAACCATGGAACTGGGTGGTAAGGTCACAATTACATGTGAAAAAACTGGTTATCAAACAGAACTGGAGTTTAAACTGAGAGTATGTATGCATGTTAATTATGGGGTTTTCTTATGGAATGTCTAATAATGTATGCATGTTAGTTTATGGGGTTTTCTTATGGAATGTCTAATAATGTATGCATGTTAATTATGGGGTTTTCTTATGGAATGTCTAATAATATATGCATGTTAATTATGGGGTTTTCTTATGGAATGTCTAATAATGTATGCATGTTAATTATGGGGTTTTCTTATGGAATGTCTAATAATGTATGCATGTTAATTATGGG